AAAAGTATCCCAGGCCGACAATAGGTTACTCTTAGAAGTACCGTCGGAACAGGAGATTAGGAGAGCCCTCTTTGATATTAACCCGGATAAAGCACCAGGACCGGATGGTATGACTAGTAAGCTTTTCCAAAAATTTTGGAGTGAGATGCGACAAGACATTACTAGACTGGTACAAGATTTCTTTGTGACGGGCAGTTTTGATCCACTGTTGAACCAGACGAATATATGTCTTATTCCGAAGAAGAAGAAACCCCGAGAAATGGCGGAATTTAGACCTATTAGTCTCTGCAATGTTAGCTATAAGATTATATCTAAGTTATTATGCAAGAGACTTAAGAGGCTAATCCCACGTCTGATTTCAGAGACACAATCTGCCTTTGTATCTAAACGTTTGATTACCGACAATATCCTGATAGCACAAGAGAACTTTCACGCCCTACGGACTAACCAAAGATGTAGGGAAGATTTTATGGCCATCAAGACCGATATGAGTAAAGCTTATGATCGAGTGGAATGGAGTTTTTTGGCTACTTTAATGTCAAAGATGGGCTTTGATGAAAAACTGGTTGACCTCATCATGTGTTGTGTCACATCAGTTTCATATCAAGTTCTAGTCAATGGACAACCGAGAGGCCGTATCCTGCCAAAGAGGGGACTGAGACAAGGAGACCCCCTGTCCCCCTTCCTTTTTATCCTGTGTACAGAAGCTTTGATCTCATTGTTGCATGGAGCGGAAGCAGAAAAAAAGATTCTGGGTCTTCGGGTGGCACAAGCGAGCCCAAGGACCTCCCACCTTTTATTTGCGGATGATAGTCTCTTCTTCTGCAAGGCGCAAGCGAGCCAATGCAGGGAGATCATAGACATCATTGATTGTTATGGAAAAGCATCGGGTCAAAGACTAAATGCTGGAAAATCATCGATGTTCTTCGGGAACCGTGTAGATTTCCACCGAAGACAGGAGATAAAAGAGGCCCTGGGCTTTGCGACCGAGGGAGGCATGGGGATGTACCTCGGTTTGCCTGAACAGATCTGTGGCTCAAAAACCAAAGTTTTTTCTTACGTACAGGACCGGCTAAATGGACGAGTGAATAATTGGTCTTCGAGATTATTGTCTAAAGGTGGCAAAGAGGTTCAGCTTAAAGCGGTGGCCCAAGCAATTCCGACATACCCAATGTCATGTTATTTGATCCCTCAAGGCATCACTGACAAACTACGAAGCACGAACTCAAATTTTTGGTGGAGCTCAAAACAAAACAGCAGAGGTTTGCATTGGATACCATGGGACGAAATCTGTACTCCTAAGGATTTAGGGGGACTAGGGTTTCGTGATCTCCATGATTTCAACCTTGCACTGCTGGCGAAACAATTATGGCGGTTGATACACTATCCGAACTCACTACTGGCACGGGTCCTAAGAGGGAGGTATTTTTACAATTCCTCTCCTTTAGAAGACCGAAGAACATACTCACCCTCATATGGCTGGCGCAGTATTATGGCTGCGAAACCTCTACTCCTTTTAGGACTACGGAAGAGGATTGGTTCGGGTCGAGATACGAGGGTTTGGAGCGAACACTGGATCCCCGACTCAGTGGCCCGGCCACCAAGGCCTGCAGATCATATTGTCTACAGACTCCCCTGCCTCCCGGTTCAAGCCCTTATTAGGAATGATACCAAGGAGTGGGATATACGACTCTTACGAGAATACTTCCAGCCAGACGATATACCTCTAATCCTTGGACTAAAACCTTCATGTTCGTCTGCCCCGGATGGATATGTTTGGGACCACACAAAGACAGGAGTCTACTCTGTCAAAACTGGCTATGAACTACTTCGATTGAATAAGACAAGACCTACACAGGAATTTGTGCTTCAACCGAGTATCACAGGACTTCAGAGCCACGTCTGGAGGATCGAGGCGCCAAGCAAGATGAAGCATTTCTTGTGGCAAGCCATCTCAGGCTGTGTGGCGACAGCGGAGAGACTTACCTATAGACACCTGGGCACCGACAGGAGTTGTCCTAGATGTGCTGGCCCAGTGGAGTCAATTAACCATCTTATATTTGAGTGCCCCCCTGCCCTGCAGGTTTGGGCTTTATCGGACTATCCGTCCATTCCGGGTGTCTTCCCGAGTACTTCTATATATCAAAATATGGCCTTCCTATTCTGGAAGAGAAAAGAGGTGGCTCCACGGAGACCACAATTCGACACCTTCCCATGGATCTGTTGGTACATTTGGAAGGCGAGGAACGACAAACTCTTTAATGGGAAAGTCGTTTCCCCAATGGATACACTCCAACACGCGTCTCTTGAGGCAGATTGTTGGAGAAAAGCGATCATGAGAGAGGAAATCGACGAGGCTTCAAAGGATCCTTCTTCCTTGGAGGTAGAGCTAGAAGCCTCCAGGGACCCCCGAATCCCGACCTGCCAAATTGATGCATCATGGATCGATCATGGCAGTGTTAGTGGCTTAGGGTGGTGTTTTAAGGATATATTGGGCTATGAATGGGTCGGACAACGGGCGTGCAGGAGAAGTCGTTCAGCTCTGCATGCAGAGATGGAAGGGCTACTATGGGCAGTCTCATGCTTGAGAGACCTGCGGATCAACTCGGTGAGGATTGAGACGGACTGCGCGGACTTAGTAGACATGTCTACTAACCCGGAGGAATGGCCAACCTTCGCGACAGAGATTGAGAGGCTCAAGAGTTTACAGGAGAACTTTGAGGATATGAGGCTTTCTCATATTCCTCGAAGTAGGAATGGACGAGCGGATGGTTTAGCTAAAGATGCGAGAAGAAAAGGATTCACTTTTTCCCATATAGATCAGACCAGGCCAGACGGAGATGCTCTCAGGAGGATCGACTCGTCTGATCACCACTTGATCTAGCTTTAGATGGGCGGATGACAAAAAAAAAAAAAAAAAAAAATATTTAGTTTTAAAATTATAAATTACTAAAAATGTTAAACATCCCACACAAAAAAAATTGTTATCAGTGATTTAAAATTTTTTTTATAAAAATATAAAAATGAACAAAAAAATAATATGAGTATAAACTATAATTTTACTGATATCAATATTAAAAATGTATTATATTTCTATGATAATATCATTTAAACTTAATTGTATCATATAAAATAGAAAACAAATCTGTATAAATTAATAAAAATATTTATTTGTATACACCAATTTAATTATATACGTAATAGTTACTGAATTTTTGATTATCAATATATATTTATTATTTTATAATATGTAAAAAACATATAATACGTAAAAATAATATATATAAAATACATTCCGCGCAAGGCGCGGATCCTAACCTAGTATTATATAAAATGCTATCATATTTGGATATGAAACATATAAAATAAATTTTATTTAGAATAGAAGTATCTTTATTTTTGTTTTTAAAAATTTGGCTTTTCCGTTTCAGAAAATAATAAGAAATTGGACCTTTTCATATCTTGGATCGCAGTGCTAGATGTCATTCCTTAGGATAAAAGAAACTTCATCAGAAAGATGAAAAAGATGGTGCGCTCAAACCCTCCTTCAAACTTGTACGGATGAGGGTTGCATAGTAAGCTTGATTACTGCCCACATCTTGGGTTCTGAGAGATGGAGAAAGCCATCCTAGGTAAGATTGATAACAACGATCCTTGGAAACACTTGAAGCTACGTGGTGAAATTGCTTCAACGACCCCAAATCCTAGGTACTCTTCTCACCTCAGAGTATCCTTTATGAGTAAGCAGAGATCATTTATGATCTAAAAAGCAAGAGACGGCTCTTTACCCGTATTTTTTTTTACCTATTGTGTGTTTGTATATTGTCTATGAAATTACGAACGCATTTATAAAGCATAATAGAAAACATACAAATACATATATTATGAGTTCAACTAAGCTGATATAATGATTTTCTTTCTCAAAAGTATTTTCAGGAAGTGACTTAGCGGAAAAGGCGTGGAGCTCTTCGTTGGGGCACTTTTCCTTGGAGCTTGAGCCTACGATAGGACTCTCGGATATGGCATGGCCTGATGTGTCCTCTCTCGTTCCTTTTGACCATAACAAGTCTAGCTGTCTCCACAAGCTCACCAACGAACATCTTTGCGATACCACTAACAACGGAAAGCCTAGGGTCGTCGTTGTTCATATTCTTAATCCCTGTGATACTCTCTAATAGCTTCTTCATGCTTGATTGTGAAGAGTAGATCTCCTGAAACATTCGTATCTACTCATTTGATCCTCTGTGAATTGCGATATAACGGCATGCATCTTGGCTACCTTCTTCTCACGATCATTGACATCAACAGTTGGGATTAGGGTGAGATCAACTTCCTTACTCTCAGAGGTTTTATGCTTCTTCAGCTGATTATCTTCTCCTCCTTGGCTGTCGGAAAGGATCTTTGTAACGCTTCATTTAAATTATATCTTACGCTTTTTGTTTCAATTTTATTATCAAGTATATGGACCCCTATATATACTCATGTTTACCGTAGAAAACTAGTTGGCGTTCCGATGTGGGATAACTTACAAACCAATCTCTTCTCGCCAAACAATAGACTTCACTTCTCAACTCATCAATCATCATACAAGTGAAACTCAAATCTTCAAAGCTATGGATCAAACTAATCAGAAACAGAGCATCCTCTTTTCTACTAAAGTACCCCCTCTTTGGTGAATCCATCACCAGTTCAATAGATTTTAAAGAGAAAACAAAAACGACATAGAAATAGAATCAGATGGGATATGCGTAAGAGNGACTTCACTTCTCAACTCATCAATCATCATACAAGTGAAACTCAAATCTTCAAAGCTATGGATCAAACTAATCAGAAACAGAGCATCCTCTTTTCTACTAAAGTACCCCCTCTTTGGTGAATCCATCACCAGTTCAATAGATTTTAAAGAGAAAACAAAAACGACATAGAAATAGAATCAGATGGGATATGCGTAAGAGATCTACATGACTTGGAATCCTGATTCTCTAGACTAAAATTCCTCCTTAGAAATCTAGAACTTGACGCTTTAGTAGACATTGGAAGAGAAGGCAAATCCTGCAAATTACTTTACCTTGCTCCTTCTTCTTAGCCAGCCTATACTCTTCCATTACCCAAGTCACCTTTTCCTCATTCACGTCATACTTCTCATCTCCCCAAAACTTGTAAACCGGTTCTGTTTTATCCTCCTTGACGCAGAACTTGAACATCCTCTTGAACCCTAGAACCTTGTTTCTCTTCGACACGATCACTCTATCACGTCTCATGATCCTCCAGCAACCTTCTTCACATCCGTCCCTTCGACCAGATCTCTCTGTGCGGTTAGTGAAGAAGTAAGATCCCTCTATTAGATCCACAGAGCTTTGATCAGTATCTACAATCATCCATGGTGCCACACCGTACACTTGCTCGCTTTGGAGGAAATGGCTAGGCCAATCGTTTCGCTTATCCACACACATCTTCAGATGATACGAGATGATCTCATCCGTTCGTACGTGTATACAGAGATCCCACCTCGGCATGAATTTTTTACGAGAAAAGGGTATTTTAGGGATAAACGAGAATTGCTTGGCGAGCAAGGAAGTAACCTCTGGCTGTAGCGAAAACCTAATCTTGCAAATCACTTGATCTTGCTTCCGTTTATCGGCGAGCCTGTACTCCTCCATGACCCAGATGATCTGCTCTTCCTCTTCCTCTGATCCTTTCATCTCCTTTTCACAGAACTTGAGAATCTTCTTGAACCCTAGAATCCTCCCGGTCTCCTTGCTCTTGATCAGTTTATCACGGGCCATGACCCTCCAGCAACCAGAGTCACTTCCATCGGTTTTACCGCAAGAATCGTTTCTGCGTTTGACGAAGACGAAGCAGTAGTCAGAGCCCGGAGTATTGAAGGAACATGCTGGATTCAGGTTGTACACGTTTGCTTCTTCGTCTTCGAGGAAGTGGTGAGGCCAGGATTTGCTGTTGTTAATCATCATGTTCAGATAGTATGAGATGATCACCTCGTCTTCTGGGTCGATCTGGTCTTCGTCTTCTTGAGATGTTACAGAATGATCTTCCTCCATAGAGTCTTGATATAATGTAAAGTGATCTTCCATGTCTTCTTGAGATATTATAGATTGATCTTCCATGTCTTCTTCTTCTTATCAAAGTATGAAACTCGATCGTTGGAAGGAGAAAAAAGAAAGATTTTGCAGTGATGAAAGAAGAAGAGCAAGAAGCAAAGCAGACTTTGTTTCTCTTGGGGAGTAAGCGAAGAAGAAGAGATGTGTGATATTATTTATAGTCAGTTGTTACCGATTTGATTACCCGTTATGTCTCTCACCAATAATTTTCTATAAAATGACTTTTTTGTTGAAGATGCATCAGGGGTTCATAGTGTAAATAAAGATACCGTTGACGCTATTCCAATTATATCAAGGGATTAATCAGTAACTCGAAGATGAAATGCAAGTCTGATTCTTCAGTCTTTTTCCTACCATACCATGAAATCTACACAGCCTCTAAAGTGGAGACAGTGTAGCATTGATGATTAATGTAAATCAATACGCTTCACAAATCTGGATNAGGGGTTCATAGTGTAAATAAAGATACCGTTGACGCTATTCCAATTATATCAAGGGATTAATCAGTAACTCGAAGATGAAATGCAAGTCTGATTCTTCAGTCTTTTTCCTACCATACCATGAAATCTACACAGCCTCTAAAGTGGAGACAGTGTAGCATTGATGATTAATGTAAATCAATACGCTTCACAAATCTGGATCTTAAAATAAACATAAAACTAGAACGATGGCTTTGAACAGAACCTTGCTTGAGGGTTTGTCTGACCAATCATCATGTCTATATAGTATGGTTAACTTGAAACTGGATCCACACGCCACCATTTCTTAAGAAGAGGCAATGTTACTTAAAGGAAACAAGAACCAGTGTGATTTAGGCAGAGCAAGCTGACCTCTCACATAGGTTGAGTGGAGTCACAAAAAAAAGGCCTGTCAGACAGCAATGCGACCACCCTGGAGAGGTCAGGACCTAACCAGGTAGCGATCCTCTACAGCACGAAGACTCCGAAGAGATATCGCAGCCGTCAATCACACTCAAATCGCACGGCCATGATTCATCAACCAGGATAGAGGGCCTGTCTCCTTAGAAACCAAGGATACAGAGGTACGAGCCTATAGAACAGATCCTGTTCAAGTAAGGTCGTGACCAATACCTTCATCTCAGCGCTATATAAACAGCATGGTTTCTCTGTAAACCAGCGATGTGGGAGAAATAAATAACTTAACAGGCTAATACGCTGCCGTGTTTTTATATTCACAATACACTACAGACCCAATACGTCATCATTTTAGTTTATTTAATGTATTGCAAACGTTCCCTGAATCCGCTTGATGACAAATTTTCCGGTGAATCCGATGATTGTTGCTTTATGGTTCTTCTGCGTCTTTTCGTTTCATCTCAAAAACAAAGTTTTAGATGCTAATGGCTCTGTAATTAGTTTTTCATTCTATTTTTTCTCTACATTTTCGTCAGTAACAAGTTAGTGCATCATAATCTCAAATCCAAGACAAAACACACAAATCCAATGAGATCAGTCATGAGAGGCCGTATCACATTTGTTTTGCAGAAAGTGAAAATGAAGATGATTATTTGTAGAGATAATAGAAACGCTTGCCTATCAAGAAACTAATTTCGGTTACAAACATAAGCCTATTGCAAATCACTTTTCTTTCGTGCATATCTCAGGTTTCATCTTTTGACAGACGTTAAGTATATGTGTTTGAGTTTTAGGCTCACTGCCCTCTCCCCTAGTTTCACATGGCTCTGTAATTTGAGGAAACTGTTAAGATCGAGCAAGATAGTTATATTTGTGATTAGCTTGCATCTTGGAATAGCCTCGTCTGAACATGGTTACTTCACCAAGGTAGGTTACGTGTTTGTCTTAACTCTGATAGTTTCGTGAAACTTTTGTTGCCAGAGAATAAACCTTACAAGGTGCTAGCACAGACTTTTGCTTCTTGTCAAGCCAAGGAACCTATGTTTGGAAATATCAAGTTACTGCTGCTGCTAATATCGTTGCCTTTATGCCATTAGCGGTTCTTGTGTGTTAAAAAAACTATATTATAGTTAGAATACAGAGGGAGGAATAAAAACACAGAGGATTATAAAAATCATGATTAATTCTGTAGTTATTTAAAAAGCAAAATGAGTCACTGAATACAAATAGAATCCACGGAACAAGAGCTCTCATGAATGAATCATCATGATCAATTAAGAAACACTATCATAGGTAAAATACAGAGAGAGAAAAGAACACACAGAGAGACTCATGAATCATGATCAAAATGTGACACTGAAGAAATGGAATCTGGAATCGTGATCATCATCAATAGCTATTTACCTCTGACGCTTGATAACGCACAACACTTTATCCTTCATTGCTTCTTCCACAAGTCTATACCTTCCATAATCCAAGTTCGCAACACTTCTTCTCCCTTCTCAATATCAAAATGTCTGATCTCGGTTTGGAACAAAAGCTGAATCTTGCAAACCACGTGATCTTGTTTAGGGTTCCATTTACTTGGAAGCCTGTACTCCTCCATCACCCATGTTCTCTTGTACTCTCTTGGTTTCGTCTGTAAGCAGGACTTGAGAATCTTCTTGAACCCTAGAAACTTCCCAGTATCCTCGTTCTTGATAATTTTATCATTAACGATGATGATCCTCCACGAACCAGAGTCGCATCCATCGGTTTTACCACAGGCTTCTGTTCTAGGGTAAACGAAGACGAAGGTAGGGTTCTCAAACTCGAACATCTCGCTTGGATTCTTGTTGAACACGTCTGTGTCTTCGATGAATTTTTCTGGCCATGAATCTCCGTTATCGCTTATACTCTTCAGATAAATTGACAT